ATGACTATGGATAACAGACTGTCTTCCTCAGAACATATCATGTCCAACATACTTCCTCTTGTCATGTCACCCTGCCATCTCTCACAGACAACCAGAATGAGCAAAAGTGAGGCTTCTTTTCCTTTCTCAAGTATAGGAAAATTGGACATCTCTAAAAGGGAACAATTGGTTCCCAAACCTAAGGAGATCTTCAATAGAGAGGAAGCGAAAGACCACACCATGAATCAATCTTAAGCATCAAACTGACCCCGGAGTCCCACAAACTAAGAATGAAAAAATACTCTATGTTGCATGTGGTAGCTATTTTGAGCCCACGTCAAGGTGCTGGCAATTCACACCCAGTTTATTTGGAGACTGGTCTAGCCTTCTAGATCAGCTTTAGACTCCAAGGCTCTGCTTGTGATGTTATGGACACAGCCACACATCCCCTAGAGGAGCTCAAGGGTGCTCCTCTCATAGTCATATAAGATCACATCCCCAACAGGCTGCTGGTTTCTTCTCATCTTCTGTAGTCAAGGCCACCTAATATTGGAGTTTACTGATCTAGTATGAAGGTGGTGATTTGCATCTTCTTCCAGCACAATCTTGCTATTTGGTGATGATTGGGCTTTGCCTCGGATATGCCTAGTTGCACTGCAGGTTGAGTGTTATGGGTGGTGCACATAGCTTGGAGTGCCCCACTGACTGATTAGCCTGACCATGGTGACTTCTTTCTACATGGGTCATCAGATATAAAAAGAAAGCTTTGACTGACAGACAGATTGCTCAGCGGCAATCGTATCTTTCTACCCCCTGCACAGGTCACCTACAATGTCTGATTCATGGGTGGCAGAGGGTATCTGGTGAAGCAGGATTTACCAAACAGTTTCACCTGTAGGGAAACCCATGGGATGACCAGAGGTTTCTAGGGAAAGCAGAAGCAGAAAGTCCCTACCTACCCAATTGAGAGATGAATAAAATACTAGTCATCTCTTAAAAGTCATACCTCCTCCTGCCCCAACCTGTCTTAGGGAGAACAAAATGGTGAATATTTCCCTGCTGAGAAGGGATCTGCCAACTTATCTGTCTTAACTTACCTACAGTAAATTGGCAACACCACTCAGCAACCTTATTAATGACTGAGAAAATTTATGTTGGTTTAATTTGAGCCATTTCATAGACAGAAGGAAAATATATTCAACTGGATGAGCCCTGCCCTCAAGAGCTACTAATTACTGGATCAAGAGACCCAGCATTGTTTGAAGAATTCCTCCCCGGTGTCCTTCTTCTTTCCCATTGTTTTTATGATAATTTTCAACATATCACTCTGGGGGAGTTTCCCCCACAAGGGTAGCACCCAATCTTTAAAAACAGGAACAAATACAAATATGAACACGCCGTGGATGCAAAACTAATCTCAAATGAGATCCTGTTAAGGGAAGCTGAGTGAACTTGTGCAAGAACAACAATACGTCGAAGGCTGACTCTTCCCAACAGCAGATCCATTCACATGGAGCTCAGAAAAATTAGGTCTGAGTCCAAGCTGGGGATATTCTTCCAGCTAACCTGTGTCAGTTTTTTTGTGGCCACTTAAAAGATTTGTGGTTTTCTGTTCTGCTCTGCATACTGAATCCAGTGTGAGCAATCACTCAACATTTGGATAATAACTATTTTAAGGCAACCATCTGGATAGGCTCTCCTCTGTCAACTGGGCCCTGCAACATGGGATGCAGCTTCAGTAACAGCAACCGCAGTGGAGCAAGTGTGTCTTTTAGACTTTTCACCATTGCTGTAGACCAGGATGGAGAACTCTTATCTAACAGAGATGTTAATGGATCCCACCTCCCAGCGGTCATAGACAATGTGGCCAGCAATATGAATTGCTGGAATTCAAATCCTACAATCCTTGAACAGCTAGATAGTCTTCCTCTCCCATCCTGAATATTGACCTACCCATACATCCTATTACTCACAGACAAACTCAGAATCTGAAATACTATAGCACTGCAAGAGCAATGGTCAGAGTACTTGAGTAATTTTTGTGCAATAAAAAAACTTGCGACTTGTCAAAACTAAATCATTACGGTTGTATAACCACCACCACCACCACCATCACAGTATATGCTATATGTTTTCAACTGATAACTCACAGTATACAAAGAGGACACTCTGCCAGGGTCCTTCCAACTTCTTTCAAAAACAGTGGTGTGTGAAATTTGGTCTCCAGTGGTGTCAGTGTTTAGGTGTAGTTCTACAGCTTCCTTCTCAATCCTCTCCTCTGACTGTGGGAGTGCTGTTCCCATTTCAGGCTTCTTCTACGTTGCGAAGCATTTGCCATTTATAGAAAAATGACTGGCACGTTCTTTACTGTTACTAAGCAACTCAAGCAGGAGTTGCAATAGTTGCGTTTGTTTAGGGATTGGAATGCCTGGCGGATGTATGTATATATGTATGTATGTATAGATACCTCTTTTTCACGTCCCCCTTGCTGACAAAAAGTTTCTTTCTACCCTGAGTGCAAGCAGAATCAGGGGCCATTTGGAGACTGAAAGCAAAGTCTCCAAAACAATTTCACATTTCCTCTCAGGGTTTGGAATTTGAGGATGTGGAAATCAGGGGCTTTCCAGATTCAACTCTCAGAAGCACAACCAGAATGGTGGGTTGTGAGAGAAGAATTATACTTCTCAAGAGCATACGTTTCCTAATCCTTTTGTAAATTACTGAATTTAAGATAATCCAGAGGTGGTATTCAGCAGATTCTGACCAGTTCTGGAGATACATACATACATACATACATACATACATACATACATACATACATACATACATACATACATACATACTAACAAACATAAAACAAACAGACATAGACACACACAATACATAAAAATCATCCTCCAGTTACATACAGTATGTTGATTGGTTACAAAGCTTTGTGCTTCCTCACAATAGTCCCCGCTTACAGTTTACACAAATTCTCATATCATCAATCCAATATATATGTAAACAATTATTAGGATTATTAAACATTCATTTGACTCTAACTATTATTACATCCTTTTATATAAAATATTCTAAATTTAAAGAAAATCTATATTATGGCATTTCATTACTTCCTCCTAAAATCATCCAATAATATTACATCTTTATACCATATTCCATATAAAA